CGGTGCTTGGGTGGAGGGCCGGGGTTTGGGTGTCGTTAGCAGGCGCGATGCTAAGAGCACGAAGTATGTGACCGCTGGGTAAGCCCGGGGTTAGCCTTGCCGCAGGGAGCGCGGCTAGCGGGCGGGAGCGGGCTGCCGTGGCCTGAGGAGGGAGCCCAGGGAAGCTGTCTGAGATGGCTGCATGGGACGCGAGCGGCGCGAGCTGGGATCAGCCGAGGTCTGGGCTCGGAAATGCAAGCGTCCGTCCCCCTGCCTCATGCTGCCGTCCCGGTTTCGGCACTGCTCGGCCCCTACAGTATACGCACAGGGGCTGTGCGCGCGCAGAGCAGGGCAGGCAGCTGTACGCGAGCCGTGCTCAGGCTAAAGCCTCGCCACGCTAGGCTCAAGCCTCCAGCCCTCAGCTGAGCGCAGCTGATTGTGCGGCCAGGGGCTTCGGTGTACCCCTTCTTTTAAGCCAAGAGGGAGAAATACCAAATGCAAGGCGGGCTGAAGCCAGAGCTGTTCCGGGTCACAGAGGAGGCCTCATCGCACGGGTTTAATTTTTGCTGTAGCAGCTGTGACTGATTTCCAAAAGGGCAGCATCCAGCAGGGCCAGCAAGGGATCGAGCTCATTCAGGGTAATTCAACTAGTTGGGTGCAGGGTGCAGCTGCGCAGAGGAGCGGGAAATGAGCAGCAGCGGACATGTCGCCCTGCCTATGCGAGAGCAACAGGAATTTTCCCAAATAGGCGCAGAGGCCTCTTTTAAAAAGATTTCCAGGAAAAGGTAGCCTCTTACAGATTTAATTGTTAGTACTCGTATTGCTATTTTTTTTTTTAAACAGTCTGATGATATATGATTTGTACAGAAGATCTGTTTGTGCCTTATAAGGGTGTCTGTGCACTTTTTATCCTTTTTAAAGCAACTTTTAAAAAAAAAACGGGGAGAAAAATAACACAGATCAGTGGTAGTTTTATAGAATTTTGTGTTCACTGAAAATTCTGCTTTTTATATATATATAAATATATCTATGTATATATATGTGAGTGAAAAAGTGTTTATTCCCATGGATTTTCCCCCCTCTCCTCCTAACCTGTTTGTGGGGAAAAAAAAAAAAAAAAGAAAGAGAAAGAAGGAAAAAGGAAAGTAGGGGGAACCCTTTTACCTTCCCCCTTCCCGAGACAGTTACTCTCTTATTGTTACCTTTATGATTCAATACTGTGATCTGTACATCATGTTTAAGCAGAATCAGATTTTGGACTCTGTATTAGGCTTTTCAAGCAAATCATTTGGGGGAGCGGGGAGGGGGGAGTCGCACGAGGGAGGGAACTGCACTTCTACATGTCAGTACTCTATAGCCTTGTGTTCAGTGCTCTGTGTTTCCTTTTTTTTTTTTT